TGAACAATGGGGAGGGGCAGGAGGGCATAAAAAAGAAGAAAATGAACAGCAGAAAGGTGGAACAATGTAAACAGGTGGAAACAAGAGAGAGAAAAAACACCGCAACTAAAAACCAAGAAAATGTTGCCATAAAAATGATTTAATACACATTTTTATATGAGAAAAGTTTTGCAATTTTTGCACATTTAATGTCCCGCCACTCACTTGACATTTGACGTGCGGGGCAGCTCCTGTTCAACTTCCAGTTAAAGTTAACCTTAACTTTAAGACCTGCCTGGCTGTCTGGCTGTCTGTCCGACTGGCTGCCTTCTTGGGTATTCCTTAGTTAATTATGCTCCAAAGTTTTCCATTTTCCTTCCTTCCTTCCCTTCGTGTGCTGCAAAAGTTGCGTAAATTAAATCTAATTGAATCTACAACTTCCATTCGGGAGTTCTCCTTCGGTTTGCTGTGTGCAAAATGTGATTACAATAAGGGGCTTTCCATTCGTTTGGCTATGGATATGTTTGCTCAGGCAGCTGGGGAATTATTCATGTCACTTCCTTTACACTGACACGCCCCCATGGCCCCATTTCTAGGGGAGGGTGGGATAATCAGCGGCTTTGTTGCTGCAAAAGTTTTCCTTTTCCTTTCTTTACTTTTTTTTATTGAATTTAGAGCAAAGTGTCGCTTTTTTATTAGAGAGTTAGCCAGCCAGAGAGAGGGAGGGAGGGAGAGTGTGGGAGTGCATTGAAATTCCATTGGAGAACTGCCTCTAGGATCTAGAATGTCCTCTGGGAGGAGGCTATGGATGTGCTCCAGAAGGAATGGGGCGGAGGAATACTTAAGGCGACAATAATGTGTCTTCTGTCATTGACTGACTCTGACATGACAATAAAATGGGCAAATGTACGCGTATTAAAAAGTTTTCAGTTTGTCAATCGTTAAATAAAAGAAAGAATATTAAATTTATGGCAATAAAAAGCTGGGGCATCTCTGAGGGAATGTGAAGAGAAAATGGGAATAATATATTTAAGGATGAGAGTATCTTTAATTAAGATACGTAGTACAGATTCTTCTTTATCTTTAGCTTTAATTTAACATTATTCCATGCAGAATTTCACAGAATTTATTATCGATTTACATACCATTCGATTCCAATTTTTACCCCGAAAATGCGTATTTTTATTGAAGAATCTGATGGATAAAGAGGATTTCCTGCATATATCCTTCCATTCTAGATCTAATGAAACATTCTATAACTTATTTTCAACCAAAGCCTTAAACATACCCTCCCTTTTATCTCCTTTTAATGGTTATTATCATCTAGTAATCGATTTCCTTCGATACCTCTCACATATCTTCCAACATTTTAATCATTTCCCGAATCAATTAAACCACAATATTCCTTTAATTTCCTCTTAAATTTCTCCTAATCAACTCTGTTTTCATTTCCCCCAACTTTACATAGTTTTCTTCACCAGCTTTTTCTTGGAAAATTCTCAATACAAACTTCATTTTCATGCTCATTAAATCCATCTTCTGTCTCTCTCTCTCTCCTCGTCGACGTCTCGCCATCGAACAACAACACAAAAAACTCATCAAATAAATCAAATTTTCCTTGTTAACCCTTTTCCTTGCCTTCATTGAGATTCTTTTCAGCAGGAGGAAAAGTTTTTGCGTGGCCTAAAGGGTTTAGCGAAGGAAAAGTCAGGAAAAGCAGAAAAAGTTACGCCAAAAATGGCGTTAAAATGTGTAATCAGAGAGAAACGACACGCAAAGAGGAGGGGGGGCAGAGGGATCATCCAAGGCTGGGGGTGCCACCAATTGAGGAATCGAGGGGCAACTGTCGATGACGACGACGGACTGTTAATGAAAATTGTTTTTTGGTGAAAAAAAAAAAACGAAGGAAAGAAAGCGCTGGAGGGAGAGGTTTTGGTGTTGTAAATGATTGGTGGAAAGAACTCTTATGCCCGCAGGCAGCAGGACGCAGGACGGACTGGGACTGGGACTACTGCCGAAACTAATTAACGCCAAATGTGGCCAAGGCCTTTGAATGATGGACAAATGGCGGGAGAATCCTTCCCTCCGAAGTAATAGGAGAGGGAGTGGGTTTCCCCCCCCCCCCCCCCCCTAGTTCTTTCTTCCGCTTTTTCTTGTTGACTTTCCCAGTGATTTGCTTCGTTAAATCCCCAATGCAGTCCGACTGCAGGACTTCTCTGCTCCTCGGAGAGCTTTACTTTCTTTGCCGCTTTTCCAGCATTTTCCCAACACCACAAACAACAATGACTGGCATTTAGCAGTGAGCATTTTGCGAGTCCTTCTCTCGAAAGCCTTTCCAATTACTCACCAATATTTACCTTGGAAGAAAATGTTATTTCATTTGACATTTTGCTGGCCAGAAGGAACAGCTGTCTAGACGACAAGCAGCGGCACTTGGGCACGCTTCTGTCTCCCCCACAAAAACTATATATAACTATATATATCTATAGATATATGATATATCTATCTGCCATCACGTTCTCCCATATTTTTTGTGCTCTCCGGAGTTCTCTGTGCCCAAAAGCCCGCTGCATCGATTGGGGGGACCATCAACGGGAATATTGATGGCCACTTAAAAGTATGCAATGAAATTTTGGGGAATTTATAGCCAAAGCCACTAAAAGATAGTAGAATGTCGAATATATTTTTAGTGAGCGATTAATACGAGTATAAATGGCCATCTGCCATCGGCTGTTGCTCTTTGCTGTCCTTCTCTTTGAAGATCTCATCATTCGATTCCCTGGAATCTCTCAGATGCACATACAATGAGTCATTCTCGCTACCTCTCCATCGCCACAAAGTCATTGGCCACTTGGCGCATAAATACCACAAAACCAAATGATTAAAATCGTATTAAACGATATGGAGGCTCCAAGTGTCACTGCAGCTGACTGAATTGCCAATACCCGCCTGTCTGGCTGAAGTTTATCCGTTCCCGCAGCGCTCCCAACAGACGTCTAGTGTTAGGGCGGGGGCCAGCGCTGCGCCAACCAGATGGAGGAAACCGAATCCGAGCGGATATCGGAGGCTGCCTGCGACACCAGATTTTAGGATGGCTACTACTAGATACTACCAGCAAAAAGCCAAGGCCAATGGATGCAAAGATAGTTTTGTTTTATTCGTACATCTCAATCGCATCTCAATCCGGTGGTCATATCCGAAGTGGTCACCAGTTCAATTCATTTTAAAGTGATGTCTCCACTTAGCCATATTCCACTGGATTCTCTGGGCCCCAATACTCCTTCACTCACAAAGAGACCAGAAATCTGAATATTCTGGCCATGGAGGGGGTGTAGGTGATTTCTAACAACACTGCGGGATACGTTAGGTTCATTTCGTGGACTAAATTCGCGACAATTCGATATCCCAGAAAAGAACAAATCGAGAATTTTCCAAACAAAAAATTTATTCTACCTGTAGTATTCTGAAGTACTAGCTATTCTTCTTCTTGAACAGATCACCGACTGTCTGGATTGCTGTGACTTACATCTTAACCACAGACCTCCGATAAATTTCTAAGCACGAGAACAGCTGTATTTCCCTTATGGTCGAAACGTGTGTTGGAAGGGGGATAAATATTGGGAAGCTCGTGAGGGCAACGGTCGTCATTCCAAGCAGGTGGATTGATTGATCAACAATGCAATGAGTGAAGATTATACCAAGAAAATATGTTTTATTTCACGCTTTCTACCGCTTTATTTGGGTAATTTTCGCATGTTTAAATATTTCGATCACATAGAACATATGTATATTTTAATAGATATTAGACAGTTAGCACTCAACAGGCTCGAATACAAAACTTAAGACTGTTTGCCTCATCGACTCTCACAAGAGAGTCGAAACGTGAAAGAAAGAGAGAGAGAGTGTGTGTGTTATCGAGAATGCGACTCTGTTTATTTGGCTGTTGTAACACCTCACCTATCGTAATGTTTACCTTGCCGTCAGCTGTGCTGTACCCCAATCGCCACTACCCCAATATGTAAATTGCACACATATGTAGAAATCGAGGGAATACCTGTGCGGTGTGGGTAACAAACGAATTTGTTCATTTAGTTTGCCTATTCCATTTAGACGTTCCATCTGCCTGGCCATTTCCACGGGTAGCGAACGTACGTTTTTAAAGTACAAAAAATATAGAAAACAAAAATTTTACCCAGGTTTTTGTAGGCGATTAGATGGCATTTTGTTTTGTACAAAAGATAGCTTTCATAATGATAGCAATAGTCATATGTTGGCAATAGGCAAAAGTACGCGAAATAAAATTCGACTTTGGCATAATCTACTAAAATTTAAAAATCTCCGAAACGGAACGGAACATATGTTTTAAAGCGATTAATTTACATATTAAATGATCTCTCTTAAAGTTTTTTAATATGAATTAAGGACCGGTCGCGAACGTACGTATTTTCCTCATTTTCCCATAAAAATTCTTCATATTTCCTTAACAAAAAACCTTTTTAGAGATATCTTTGAGGACCAACTTTTATCAAAAACAATACTATAAAAATACCAAAACATATCGAGAAAGTAAACTTTTCTTAAGTTTCTAGGAAAATAGGAAACCATATCGGCTGAAAAGTATATGAAATTGGGTTCATATTAGCTATTGGTCTCTTTTTGGTCTCGATGGACTTTTCCACGGAAATGCCCATATGTACCTGGCTGGCTGGGCGACTATTCGTCGGAATTGGGATCATAACAGTCATATGATCTGCATCAATGGGGAATTTATGAGTTCGATTCGATTACAATTGCCGCCGGTTCAGCTGCTGGGTGGTTGGGTTAACGAGGGGGAACTCGGCTGAGCCTCAGTTTTCTTGGGAATCGCAAGTGCTCCTCCAATCCCAATCCCAGTCCCAATTTGCTATAAAAGGTCTCAGCCTCAGCCATAGACCCTTCATTAAGTTGGAGAGGCGTTGGCTCTGTTGTCTTAAAGCCAGTCTTTAATCATGTGTATCCTGAAGGTGATCTTTGTTTTTATACTTTTCGTCTCCTGCGTGAATAGTCTGGCTTTGTACTTGCCGGAAGCAAAGAGAATTTGGTTTCCTCCCGCACCCGGAATGAGAGACAAACAGGGGGAATATAAAAACGAAACGCAATCATATATAGTCCCTGGACACTGGAGATCGAGCGTAAGCTCCTGCACAATGGTTAGCGATTTCGAGAACATAACTGTTCGCCTTGGGTACAAAAAGAGGATGACACGCGTCTGTGGAAACTATGAATGCGTATCACGGGGTCCTGGCACGGCAGCGATGACCGTAGTCGAATAGTGAGTAACCACAAGTGCGATGACGATCGACAGAGAATCAATCTCTTCGTCGTTTCAGTTGTCAACAGCCAGCCGGTTTCCAGGAGTGCGAGACGAATGGAATAGACCAGACGCAGAACTATCCGGAATGCTGCTGGAAATGCGTCGAATATAAAAACTGTTAGCTCTGAGGCACAGATCCTCATTCCTCATTCCCAGTCACAAATTTTAGCTATGTGTTTGATGGAGTGTGGGATCTTAATTGGCTAGAGTAAGAAAATAAAGATTAAACTACTACTGTATGGCGCCGTAGAGCATGTTTATGATCCTGTACACCTCTGAGAATCTCGCTGGAGGTCCATAGATAACCAGCTTGACTTTCAGAGAAACAGCAACAGAGCCCGGATTGCCGGTTCAGGATATCCTTGGATGGCCTCCTATCCGTGGCCTTGCGCGACCTGAAGACCTGTCTCCGATGCACAGAAAAGAATGGCTTTGATTATCGTATGCCCTCCCCGATGCCCCTCGTGTAGGGCTGATATGCCGCTGCATAGATCGAGGGACAGGTCAAAGCCCTGGTCTTTCTCCACGACATATCTGTTACCAGCGAAGTTTCGAGACCGTCAGGGTTTAGCTGTACACTTTTTTATAGAATGTTCAAACATTTTTTGGCAACCCCCTTCCTTCCAGACGCTGGGGCTATAGACAGACAGACGGGCGTCTCAATATCTGAAAGGGAGAGAGATTCAAATGGAAGGCGAGCTGCCGGCTGGTACACTGAAATCATTTTAATGAAATGGGAAACCTTTTTATTCTTTTGAACCACAAATGAATTCTAATACGATTATGGAAAAGAGTCTTTTTCAATGAAAGGAAGCGACAGCAAGCAGGTAGTCGTCGCTCGAGGAATGTGGCATCATCGGTAGGTGAGGTGAGGGCAAGAGAAGTCAAGGCTGGGAATCCGGTTTGACGAATTTTTTCGACTCAAAGCAGTTTAGTGATGCAGAGGAAAAGGGTTTGGATATGATATGGGGATACTGATCCAAAAACGGGGATTAAGAGCTAATTGGATATCACATCTAATAGAATGAAATGATATCATGAAGGAATTGTAGGATTCTTCTTGGGATTCAATCGAGTTATATATCCCCTTTGTCATTCGAGCGATAATATGATGGATAATGATATGGAATACTGTTAAAGAGACTGATCCAAAAGGGGTTTAAAGCAAATCGAGTTCCATTGGGATACTTTTTGGATTACAATGAAAGAACATTCTAATTCCATATTACCCTTGGCATTTCCCCTCTCTTTTCCTTCAAACATCATGTGTACACTATGCCCTCATCCATATGTAATTTTCCTATAGAAATCTTTCAATCAGAGCCATGGCGTTCTCCTTCAATCAAAGCCTATGGCTCTATTTGATGACCAATAAAGTTGTCAGGCGGCGATAATGTTATTAACATTGCTTACAATAATTAATTTAATTTTTGTAGACCAATTTACACACGTAATTAAAAGACCCCAACCCCTATATATATCTGTCTCTCGCTGTGACGATACGACGGTCTCTCTTTCAAGTCCCATGCCGGAGGAAGAGAGTGCGTGTTTCAGTACACGAATAGGGAAGGGGCCATGGGGCATGGGGCATGGCTATTAGTTTCTATTTCCATTGCCACAAACACTGACTAATTGCCCATGGTCAGTGCCTCGAACGACAATCGCGTCGCGGAAGCAGCGGTCTATCAGGGAGAATATCATCTAAATGAATATAAATGAAATGGAATTCTATGGAGATTCATACTTTTTGAGTTTTTATCAGTGATTTATGGGATGAAAACAAGCCCGATGCTGCTCTGCCTCTAGACAGATGAATTTTGCAATCGGAAAACAAATAAACATACTATATATATGCGAAAGAGCCCATAAAATAACAATCTACAGAAATACATACATATTTATGCATTGCGGAATGTTCCATGGGACATAAGGAAATGCTCTTACCCGAGGAGGGAGTATGGGGAACTACCAGGAGGTACATATATCTGTGGATCTTTGGAAAGAGAGGTTCTCTGAGAGATGCCTCTAAGAGGACGCCACAGGAACTGCTGGCCTACGCCAAAAAAACCTCTCGATGACTTTAAAACCACATAAACACTCCCACGCCCCCTATCCGGATAACTAAGGGCCATACTAACCTATGAGATGCCCCGCTGCGAGCCGTCCAGGTTTACCTAACATAACCTATAAAGAATCCTACATTTATCAATGTTTTAGGAGTAATTGTAGACCTTTAACCGAAAAGCAGAGCCAGAAGACCATTCAATCGCCATTTGAATGCCAAACCCCAGCTTTAATGGAAAGTACCCGCTTTCGTAGGGCATATCCTAGCATTATAGGAAGCACTCCACTGCCTTTCAGTCTGCCTGTCATCGCAGCAAATTCCAGAAGCAAATCAGTTGGCAATCAGAGCGCAGTTTGCTCTTTTGACTCGTCTTTAAGCTGATTCTTTCTTTTTTTCCACTGTATTATCAATGCTGTAGTAGGAGGCTTATCAAGACAGACCAGACAGACCAGACAGACACTCGATGGAGTATTCATCGACTGGCAACAGCGAAGAAACGAAAGAATGAGAGTGTAACCCGCATGTTGCATGCAGCAGCAGCAGCAGCAGCAGCTGATGATGATAAGAGTTGAAACCCCGTTCATTGAGGAAATGTCACTTTTGCATACAAAACATATGACAAATCTTGGTACGAGTATATACTAAAATATCTGAAAAATTAAAAGAAAATAAAAGAACTGAAAAGACAAAGTCCGAACGCGCCTTTTCCTGTTCTGCCAAAGTTTTGCGATAAAAAAAGAAGGGAAAAAAGAGTAGAACTTCTCTCTCGACTGCAGTGCGTTGAATGCATACAAAACGAAGATATGGCCGAAGCCCAAGCGCCGTATCAGGCGATATGCATAGAAAATGAAGAATAAAAAGAAAAGTAAAGAGAAGGGAACCACTAGGGGGAGGAGGTGGGAGAGTGGGAGAACTGCAAACAAAGCGCTGCAGCAATAGTGGAAAGAAAACTTTAGTTCTTAAAATGGCAGCCAGACGGAGCGGCGTCGTCGTCAGCATTTTGATAAACCATTGAATAAATGTTAGAACAGAAAACAATTATTAAAAAAAAAAGAAACAAAAATCCCCCCGAGAAAGAGCGAAGCTTTTCCCAATACGGAACGGAAATGCGGCACAGAAAAAGCAACAACAACAAATCCGAGGAACAAACGAAGGAAGAGCTTTATAAGGCAGAAAGAGGAATGGAAGGGAGTACTGCCGTACGACTATGAAAGAACCCCACAAATGGCATACCTGATGGGGTGGGGAGGGGGGAACAAATGGGGGCTTTCATTAGCAAATGTTTAAACGAGTATTTCTACCGATTAGATAAGCGTTTTGGATTTATAGAATGAATAGAGAAAGAGGGAGAGAGAGAGAGACTAGAAAAAAAGAAAAATATAAATTTATGGCGAAATCTTGTGATTCTCCAGAGAATTTCAGATGGATAAGACTCTGCTGGGTATATATTTTCATAAGAATAAATTCTGATTTGCTTATAATTATAGAACAATGAGGGGTTTTCCTCAGGGTGAGCTTCAGGGTCTCCACTGAAAGTTTAAAGAACTCTTAAACGGATAAGAGAATGACGTACTATGCGACTATAGCTACAGCTATAAGCGTTGATATACTGCTTTCCATTCCCAACTTTGATCCACAATTAGGCAAAACATTCTAGCCTTATAAAGACCCCGTTCTAGTCATGCTTCTAATCCAACATTCAGATAAGATACGGCACCTCAATCATAATTTTTTATAGTGAATGTTCAAAAGGAGACTCCATGGAAACTGACCCCTTCCTCAGAGATTCCCCAATCGAGATCCGATAATCACACAACAAATTACAGGGGAGGGGACATTGAGAACACACCAGCAATAAAGTCATCAAGCCACTTGTGACGGGTCGCCACAGACACAAAATCAAAGAATAAAATCCATTCAAAATGTATTCCGAGAATCCCAAAAAAAAAAAACACACACACAAAAACATAAAACGAAAGACGCGACACAACGAATTTTCATTCGAAATTAACGAAACAAAATTATGTTTGGCGCCAGGTCTGGGGCCCAGAGAGAAGATCCCCATGAATGGTGAATGGTGTTGCTGCAGTAATTGGAAACTAAAACCAACATCGAAAAAACTCGCATAGATCGTACCGAAATGGCACGTTCCGTTCCGTCTTAAAGACAGAGAGACAGAGATAGATACGCCGATTGGCCGATTTGTACGATGATTTGCATAATTGCGTGATTCGCATACCGCAGAAATTTGTTGTATCTCTGAATCATCGTTTCTCTACAGAGGGGCGGGGAGGAACCCAATCTGAATCCATTCTCTTAGATGTGGGACTCATCTTTTGGTATTACTTTCGTATTCAAAGTTGCCAATGAGTCAAGTGCTTACATTGTCTGTCAAGTGTTTGATTATCTCATTCGGACAGTATAAGAAATGGAATTCATATGCATTTCAAGCGACTTTTGGGGCATTGATGGACATTGAAAGCCAAGTAATTGACACTCTTGTCGTGGAAGATACATATTCAGCTATGGAAAGCCTCTTGAGAACCCTAAAGAATGGAATAGGAAAGAGTTTCCCATACATTTAAGCCATGGAAATCCCTCTAATATCCATATCAACTTTATATATATCTTTAATTTCATAATATTCACTTAATATTCCTATAAAGTTCTATATATCTTTCTTTATTTCCTTTGCCTCGGGTTCTTTTATCTTGCAAATTCGCATTCATCGCATTAAAAAGTACCTTTGTATCTTTTATGTGAAGGAATTCCAGAGTACTCGTTCGAGCTGTGCGGGAATTTTGTGATTTCATGTTCGAGTTCGATGTTCGATGTGCGTGAGGTTGCAGCTGAGTTTGTTTTGGGTAATTTTCTATCCCAAATGAGGGAATTTTTTTGTTGATATTTAAAGCAGTTAATAAATAGTTATTTATATGAATTATAACTAAAATTATAGTTTTTAAGAGTGATTTCCTAGCACTTAAGGAAGCTCTAAAGCTCTAAAAAATGTATTAAATGAATAATTTAGTTCGACTGTTTTCACCGTTCTATCCCTCTTGAAATACATTCATTCAACATTCTAGATTTCATCTGTTTTCTTGCCTAATTCCACCCACAAATTCCCTCAAATACTATGACT